TTACAGTGCTCCCCAGCTCGTGCATAAATGATAAATTATTCACCTGGCACGAGGCACACAGAGCACCCTCAGCAGGCGGCCCATGAGCAGCTGGCAGGGTGGGCGCAGGGCTGCGGCTGAGCAGGGAAGTGGAGCCCGGGGCCTGTTCCCAGCTGGGTGGACCTTGGCTTGCTCTCCTCACTCACTCTTGCTCTGAGCACTTTTACTAGCTGGAGACAAATTGCTAGTGATCTGGGCATTTTCAGAGCAGTGAGGAGAGGTGTGATGCTGGAGGGAGGCCAGGAGCGCTCTGCCTCCGGGTCATCCCAGGACTCAGGAGAGGTGAGAAAGATGCAGACCTGCTTCATGGGCTGTGCCATCCCTGCTCTCTGCTCATGGCTTAGGCCCTGGGCTGATGTTCTTGGGCACCTGCCTGGCGCCTGTCTCCCAACTTAGGTGAGCCTCACGTCTTGGGTTGGGTCTGAGTGTGGGGACCCTCACCTCCCTGCCCTTTTGCCTGGGGGTCCTGCGTGCTGCCTGGAGCCAGGCTCCCCAGCCAGGGGCTGCACCCACAGACAGTCAGTAGTCACCAGGACACAAGAGCCAGGCAGGAGTCGCTGCCTGACACAGCCCCAGCACCCGGCAGCCACATGGCGGGGGGTACTTCCAGCTAGTGCCAGAGAGAGAGCCAGGGCAGCTGGGCCTCCGCCTCCCACAGGGAGAGCTCCAGGGGTTGGTGTGGGGTCTTCGTGCCATGACACAGGTGTCTTCTGGGGCCTCTTCCGGGAGGAAGACGGGCCTGTTCTCAGGTCACCGCTGCAGCCTCCCTCCACCTTGCAGGGGAAGGTGTTTATTCTGGTTTTCACAGCAGGAGCGCACACTGGGCAACAGGCATTAAACGCATCCAAATACAGTCTTTTTATGGGTAGCAGATTGAAAGCTTGTCAGCACCCAGCCCTTCATCAGCGGGGCTGTCAGCAGCACCAGAAAGAGAAATACAAACATGAAAGCGGTTTGTGCAACTGGGGTGCAGTGCGCACTGCTGATGGGATCCTGGGGCCGGCGTCTCCTGCAGCCCGTCTGCTGGCGGTCTTGGTGGCTGAACCCAGAGGGGTCGCGTCATGAGCCTGGCCAGGTGCAGGTGGCTGGACCTGTCCCTGTGCCCTGTTGGCTGTGGGGGAGTCTGGGGTCTCAGGGCAGCCGGGGTGGCGGCGAGTGGGGAACTGGACGGGGAGTGCCAGCTGAGCAAAGTGTGATCCCCCGGGGGTGGAGGAGCCCCTCCTCCTGAGGTGGTGAACGTCCCCACCCGCACCTCGGCCGGGAAGAGGTTCAGCTGCTGCTCCAGAATGTCCCAGCCTTGCTGAGGGTCACACTGGAACCAAGCACACACCGGGACAGGCAGCTGGTACCAGGCCACCATTACCCCAGGACGGAGACCAAACCCTGGTGCGTCCCGTGCTCTGCACCCTGGACCTTTGCTCTATGGGTCTGGGGTGCACGCAGTCGCCGTTTCTCTGCCTTAGGACACACGTCAGTTCCTCCCAGCTCCCTGCTCTCTGCCCACCTGACACCTGGACTTGATGCCGGAGGGTTCTGCCGGGAAGCCGTCCTCCTGGGTGCCTGTTCCAGCATGGCCTGGTCACCTCGGTCTCCCTCAGGGCTGGAACTGTGAGGAAGCTGTGCTGCAGGAGTTAGGCCTGGGGAAGACACTAGAGGGCGCTGCTGGGAGGCTTCTAGAAGGAGGAGGTGTTGAGGGCAGAGAGGAAGAAGATGGGATAGGAGGGCTGCCCAGGCCTACAAGCCTGGGCCAGGAAGGAGGGTTCACGAGACTCAAGGCCCTTAGCCTGCGGCATCACTGCTGGTGCTGGTGCTGCTGAGCAGGTTATCTGTTCCTCATGGAGATGTGGGAGCCAGTGGGGGCATAAAGCCATCACTGGGATTCTCCCAGCATGCTCTGTGATGCCCATCACCTGCTGCCGCAGGGTCCCTGTTCCTGGGGAGACTGCAGAGATGGGCGAGACAGCCCTGGAGGGCTAAGCCTGTCCAGGGAGGAGCCCCTGTCTCCTGCCTGTGCTGGCGGCTCACTGATTCACGCTTGTCCCTGCTCCTATTCCCCCTGTCATCCCCAGAACTCGGAGGGTGGCTGGCTGGGCCCTGGGTGTGGGTCTTGCTGGAGCTGAGCAGTTGGCCAGGGTCCTCTAGGGGGCGTCTGGGTTGGGGGATCCTGAGCCTCTTATGTTGAGTCACTTTTCAGCCCCTTGGCAGCCTGGGACGGGCCAGGAGCAGCCCCAGCCTTGCAGGTGCCCACTTGGCTAGGCCCTGGAAGAGGAGGGGATGGCATTAGCGCCATCAAGGAAATAGATTAGGAATGGATTTAAACATTCTTTCACACTTAAATGCATTACTTTTGCATGTCATCGTTCATGAAATTCTGCAGCGGCGGACACAGAACGAAGCACGTTGTTCCCGGTTACACATTTATCGATGTGTGATTCTCATGCCGTACAACTCATCCCGCGAAGTGCCTGATTCAGTGGTTTTCTATATATTCAGAGCTGTGCATCTGTCATAGTAATCAATTATGGGATGTTTTTATTACCTTGGAAAGAGAGCCCGCGCCCTTTATTTATTGACATTTCATCCTCCCAACCCCCTCTCTAAGTGGCCACTAATGTGCTTCTGCCCTGTTCTGGACATTTCTATAAGTGGAACCATTTGTAGAAATGGTTCATCTGTGGTCGTGTGTGTCTCTTCTTCCACGTGGTGTGATGTTTTCCAGGTTCCCCGTGTTGGGGGAATACGCAGTTTGCTGACCTGCTCATCTGTCCGTACTCCCTGGGGTTGCTTCCCCTCTCCTTATTATGAACAGTGCTGCCGTGGACACAGGGATACACTTTTTGTATCAACCGGTTTTCAGTTCTTTCTCTTGGGAGTATACGAAGGAGCAAGTGTGCTGGCCACGTGGGGATTCTGGGTTTAGCTGTTTGAGAAACTGCCGGACTGTTCTCCAGAGTGGCCACAGCACTGTATATTCTGGTCAGTGGTGCACGAGGCTTCTGATTTTTCCTGATTGCATTCAGCTGATCCAACGATTCCTGTCTGGAGAAAACACTTTCTCCAGCCAAATGCACGGCCAGGCCCAGTGGTGGCGAACCTATGGCACACGTGCCGCAGCTCGCTGTTTGTTATCATTGAAAGCTCTGAAAGGTTCGCCATCGCTGGCCTGGGCCCTGGTCTTGGCCTCAGCTGTCTCCTACCTGCTGCATCTTCCGCCCATCCGGCCACCTTCCTTCCTCTTCGTGGGCTCTGCTATCAGGGCTCCCAATCAAGAAGCTGCAACCTCACACCCTGGGCTCCCTGGTCCCCCAAAGCTCAGCCTTATTTGGTCCCTCAAACCCCTTCAGGGTGCATGGGTGGAGCTCTCTCCCACCCTGAGATGAGACAGCACAGCCCAGGTCCAGCGGCGGAGAGGAGTGAGGCTGCTCCCCCTCCAGACCTCAGACCATGCCCTGCCTCTTCCTCCCGCCGGGGGGGCTCCAGCCTCAGGCGGGCCCTGCAGAGCGTTTAGCACCATCTGAAAGGCAGGGCTGGGCCAGACACATTTTTTTTCCCTCTGCCAGAACAGTCCTATGTCTGTCACAGCTGAGCAGATTTACAGCAGCAGCTAAAGTGACAGAACACACGTGGAACTGGGTGCTCCGCGAAGCCTGCCCTCCGCATCGCTGTTGGCTGATTAATAAATTAAAGGAAGTCTGTAAATCCACCCGCATGCCATGCCAACTCCTTCCTCTCCTGGCTGGTGACACGCATGGTCCAGAACCAGGCCACACGGAGCTGGGTGTGGGGACTGTGCGTGTTGGAGGCTGGCTGGGAGGTAGGCTGACGGGTGTGGGCAGAGAGGGGTCACTCAGCCCCTTCCAGCAGGCGGGCATGGCCTTTCTAACCGCTCAGCACTTCATCGGACAGCACCACTCCACCATCTCCCGTCTGGAGCGGGGTCACTGCCTAGGCAGGAGCCAGGGCCCAGCCCACCCGGGAAGCAGCACTTGGTCAGATGAGGTTACCACCCTCTTGGTCCTTTTGGGTTTTAAGATTGTTTCCTGTGACATAGGTGCTAAGATCTTCTCCTACTGTGTTGTTCAGCTTTTTGAAGTTCTCTCTCTTTCGTTCTCTTTCTCTCATTCAAAGTTTTCTTCTTTTTAAATGTTCACTGTAGTTGCTGAGGTGGGTGGGTTTGGTGGCTAGCAGTGAGGGCTTGGGAGCCGGATGGGCCTGGCAGGGGGTGACCCGGGCAGGGCCTGTGGGTCTCAAGGTCCCTCATACGAAAGGCCATGCCAGGCCGCGTCCTGGCCCCGAGTGACGCCTGTAGCTGGGCGCCTAGCCAGAGGCAGGGAGGCCTGATCCCGTCACTGCTTTGTTTCTTTGTTTTCTGCATTCTCATTTGCTTTTTCCATTTCTCTCCCCGACTTCAAACATCTCCCGAGCGTTTATTACTGACAGGCTGTATCCAGCCTGTTCCACTCTCAGGGCCCACAGTCCAGATGCCAGCCCTGTCCCCAGGTTTGCCAGATATGCCAGCCGCCCACCTGTCCCTGCTGCTGAGCTTGTGGCAGGCTGGGCAGTCCCAGGGCTGGGGGCTGAGTGCAGGCGGCCTGGGGAGGGGTGGGGGGTGCAGGAGGGACGAGGGTGTCCACACCACTGCACTGGGGCTCTGAAGTCTGCCCTCGCCCGCAGAGCAGCCCCGCCTCACCTGGCCAGGGGCTCCAGGCCTGCACCAGAGCTTGTGGCGTTTGAGGAACACCACCAACATCCGCAGGATGGAAAACAGGAATGGATGGCTGACCCTCAGGCGGGACTCACACCTAACCCCCGGCAGGAGGGGACGAAGACCACGGTGTTCTGAGACCTGGAGGGCAGAGCTACGAGAAAAAGGGACAAGTCACAGGAGGGGCAGAGTTTAGCTCAACCCAAGAAGGCCACTTTCGACTAGAATGTGACTGATTTTCCTCCTGTAATTACAGCAGCTGAGTTCTTCTGTCAAGAAAGTAACGAAAACACAGAACTCCAGAAGGGAGAGATAAAGTCACGAGCAGTTCCACAACCAGAGGTAACGTGGGTCAGAACTCGGCACGTTCTCCATCACATTTACAAAGCCCTCTCTAAGCGTGAGGCTGGGGTGCAGGGCTCCGGCCACATCTCTGGTTTAGTTCGGGTCCCTGATTTAATTCTTTATGCAGTGCACCTCTCCGATGCAGGTCTTCTACACAATTCTGGTCTCCTGTGGTTTTGGAAACCACCTGGTTTCTGGTGTCTGCGCTGTGCTGTGTCCTGTTTAATGTAAGGACCGCCTCTTCCTTGGACCTTACATCATTTCCGATGTCCCCACGGCAAATTGCTCGTGATCTTAGGCTAGCTCTGTCAGGTGAGCTCTCTCGGAGTACCGCTGCAGGGACACAGTAAACGGGTTTCCTGAGACACCGGGTGTCCTGCCAGGGCCATGTGTACACCTCCCCTGGGTGGCTGAACCTCTTCACTGAGTGCCCACCCTGGGCCTGGCAAGAGGTACTCAGGAGCACAGACGGAGGATGGCCCTGACCCCCCGGCTCTCAGGTCCCACTCAGGAGATTCTGAGACTGTTGGGCTGGGTACATCAAGGCATATACATATACATATACATATAAATTTTATTTTGAGATAAAGCTCTACATGCCCGTGGGAAAAAACGATACTCTGTTGGCCACCTCTCTGTTGCCAAAATATCTGATACACATAGAAGGCAGGTTTTTATCTCAGCTCATGGCTTCAGGAGCTTCAGTGCGTGGTCGGCCGGATTCAGGGAGGGAGGGGCTTGGCGGAGGAAGGCTGCGCACCTTGTGGTGGCTGGAATCAGCCAGGGCAGGAAGAGCTGGAAAGACAGGACCGGGGTGGGGACAGGACACTCATTTCCAATCACACCCCATGACCTCCGTGCTCTGCCAGGGACCGGCTCCGCTACGAGCTCACCCTGGAGCAGTCCATCAGTGGCGCCGGCATCCCCGCGGTCCAATCCTCTCTCTAGGCCCTGCCTCTGAAAATTGCAGTACTGGGGCTCAAACCCTCAAGACATGAGTCTCTGGGGGACACTTTGTATTGAAGCCATAGCAGGTACAGAGATCTCCGCTACCCAGCTTTCCCAGAGGTGGCCTATCACAGAACTAAAGCTCAATATCACGGGCAGGGTGTTAACGTCAGTACTGTCGAGACACGGGTCATCCGTCCCTGCAGGGACGGGCACCCTGAAGGTGCCCTTTCTGTCTACAGCCACTTCCCACCTCCCACCTCCCCCCCCCCAGCTCCTGGCACCCACCCATCCACCTGCCATCTCTGTCTTTTGCATTCAAGGATGTCATCCACATGGAATCCCACAGCGTGAAGCCTTTGGAATTGGCCCTGAGATTCATCCAAAGTGCAGAGCACATCCGGTTTGCTCTTTGCTCCCGAGGATTCCGCCGTGCCTCCGGGTTCTGGGTGGCCTGTCGGCTCTCCTGCTGAGGGCATCGGGCTTGTTTCTTGTTTGCGGTGATTACAAATAAAGCCGCTGCAAGCACTTGTGCTTCTGGTTTTGAGTGAACATGCTTTTGTTTCTCTAGGAGAAATGCCCAAGAGTGCAATTTTGGGGAGCAGAGCCGTCGCATGTTTTGTTTTGCAGCAAGTGGCCAACCTGTTCTCCACAGAAGCGGGATTTCACATTCTCGCCAGCTGCCCGGGGCCCAGGTGCTCCGCATCCCTGCCGAGGCTCCGTCTTACCGCTGGTCTTCACGTTGGCCGCTCTGGGAGGCCTGCTGGGCTCACTCGTCACAGGTTTATTTCGTGTTTCCCTGACCGCTAATGTTACTGGACGTCCACACACTCCCCTTCGCCATCTGCCTGTCCTCGCTGCTGAAATATCTGTCCTGTTTTGTACCCATTTTATAATTGAGTTTTTAAAATCAAGCTCTAAGAATCCTTTATCTACTATAGATACCTGTCCCTTAACAAGGATGAGCTTTGTGAGTGATTTCTCCTTCCTACAGCTTGTTTCGTAAGGGACTTTCACACAAGACACCGTGGTGAGACTCAGCCGCTCCGTTTTCCCTCTTTTTGGATCATACTGTGTCAGGTCTAAAAACTCTGCCTCAGGTCCTGAAGATTTCTCCTAGTTTTCTTTTCTAAACGCTTTTCTCCTTTTATGAGTGCATGTATGCAGTGTACGAAGTTTGCATTCGTCGTGGGGAGGGGGTGCAGGCTCATAATACAGCTTGGCCCTTCTTAGTTCCCTTCCCTTCCCACCCAGCTCCCTCCCCCTGCCTCCAAATCCCCTTTGCACAGTTTCAGCTCGTGCTATTATTCTTAGCTCATGTTTATGACATATAATGTTAACCTCCATTGAGGTTACCAGGTTCTTGCATATGGCTATCCTAATTCTACTTCTTTCCCCTCCCCCTTCCCTTTCCCTCAGTCTCCTGGACCTCTGCCCATTGCAAGCAGGCTACCCCCTTGTTCCCTTCGTTTGTACCTTGCCTTACTCAAACGAGAGATTCCATATGGTATTTATTTATTTATTTATTTTAAAGAGTGAAAGAAGGATGACATAGTAATGGGGGGGGGCTTACCAAATTATAGACAAAGTGGTAGGAAATTATCAGTGGTTATTGTTTTACATGTTGTTATCTACAAGATAGTTTCTCAGGAAAACAAATAGACAAATAATAGTGAGTTACAGACAAAAGAGGTAGATTATCAATAGTTGTACTATACTTTAGTATCTTCAAAGTGGTTTCTAAAGAAAATAAATAGAGTTATACATGAGTGACCACTTGAATAATCATTGAGTATTCTCAATGGTTGTTGTAGGAAACACATAATAATAAACATGCATCCATTTATGAAATAGTATAGGAACAATACAAACATTACAGAGTTAGGGACAGATTCGTAGGAAAATATCA